TTTCTTTATTCTACGCCTCCCTTTAGCACGTGGACGAGCTGATAAGCTCATATGAGAAGAATGGTGTTGATATTGTGTGTATTGCTAATTCTATGGATTTGCATGCAGAATAAGTAGACTTCTCAGTTTTACGCTAACCCCAATTGGAATCTCTGGCGGCTAGGGCTACGACCCTGGCACTAAGCCCACCACATAATGCCAACGCCCTCCAGTGTGAATCTCGTTTGGTTTGTCATAATTATATATCGTCACTTACACATGTTAAACTTCAACTTTGTTCCTCCTGTACGAGATGGGCTTCCTGCATTTTTCCTGGGGAAGCTGGACATTGCGGATGTTAGGCGTTTCCTTTGTTTTTTGCCATTCGGAGTGGACTGCGTGTAGATCGAATGCTATCCCATCACCTGGTAGAGTGGGTACTCGTTTCCTTGGCAGAGAACACCAAAAACTCCATAGTATTAATAACTACTGAATCGACTGGATATGCTCGTTCCAGCACCTCTTATGATTACATATATTAATTCTATATAAGGCACAGCCATATCGAGTCCTTGGTGCACGATCTCGTCGATTTTGACCTCTTGTAGAGTCGATTCAGTAGTTATTAATATTATGGAGTTTTTGGTGTTCTCTGCCAAGGAAACGAGTACCCACTCTACCAGGTGATGGGATACTGTTCTTTACGGCCGTCAGACTTTCCATTTGCTCTTTCTTGCAGACGAAATCCTTTACGTCTACATCGTGTTCTCGTGGGATACACTCGCCCCTCATTAACAATTAATTCACTCGTGGAATCCCTTCCTCCGAGGCGGACTCGAGAGAAAACACTTGACGATATCAAGGTGCTCGCTTCCGATGGAAAATTCGAGGATCATTTTCCATACTACGGCAATTGGATTCACTTGGAAATATGGTCCACATCTTTGTTCTACCTTCGCTGGGGACATGCTCGATTGGGGATGGCCGCTGAGACCATTAATCCGAAGGTATGTTATTATGAGATAAGGGTACGTGCTTCCGATCCATGGCTTAAGGTTACCTGCGTACTTCGGTGGCAATGGGTTCCCTCGATGTTTCATCCGCCTCTTTGTTCTACATTCACTTCGGACATGTTCTCTGATCATGGACGACTGTCAAGGGCAACCTTCGCGAGAAGATAGGTTCTTGGGGTATGCATGGACTCAGTCCCGGTCGACCACCGGATGTCGCATCTCTGAAACGTGGTAACAGATCCCCTACTGGGGCCGATACCGGAAGACATGGCTTTTGTGCTCAATGAAGATGAACACAGACGTGAAGTGCTGTTGAAATCATTTCCAGATAAAGTTCAAAGACGTCCGAACAATTCAAAGAAGTCCGACGAGGAGCGGAGCGGAAGCCTTCAGCCGTTTTTTTCAAGGAAAAGTGGATGAAGATCAGGCAATTACTAAGAAATGGAGCCTTCTCATTGATGATGTGAAGACACATGCCTGAGGTCTGCAGTAATTACAATGCGTCACGCTGTTCGAGCCAGTCATCCTCTAGCAGAAATTAGCTTTCGATTCTCAAAACCACAGGACCAATTTTGAGCTGCGTACCAATCAGAAGGGTAACCGACCCCAAAATGAGCATATCGCCATCCTCGTCGTCGCAACACCCCCGTTGTTTCCATCATTGTGTCCCTCTCCCTCAAGCCAATCCTCCAGCCTGCACCCCTTCATCATCGCTCTCGCTACCAGCTGCTTCCTCCCCGATAACGCTCATAACGGTTAAAACTTTCCTTCCCCTCCGCTTGCTCTTTGGACTGCCACCCTGCTGATACTCTTGCTTCCTGCTGCTTGGCAGTGTGTCCCTATCGTCCTTCTGCTTCGTCTTGTCATTCTGCTGCTCCTTGTCACTATCACCAAGTGCAAGCCCCGACTCCTCGCTCTGCTCGCCCATTGCCTTCTCACTGAGCCGGTCCTCTGACGAATCGACGATGGTTCGGATGCTTGGCACTTTCAATTTGGATGGAGGGCCCATTTTCTCTCGCTGCTTGCCTGCTGCTTTCTCACTTGGCTGATCTTCGGAGGTGTGGCTGACGGAAGGGGGCCTCGGCGCTGTACGTGTAGGTGGAGGTGGAGAGTCTGACATTGGCTCCAGCTGCTGCATATCGAAGATAACGCCGCGTATATTGACTTGTTCGCCTGTTGGGACGACCTTCCTGGGCTGGGGATCAGACATGTTTACTGCTTCGTTGATTTTTGTGGTTGATCCTGGGGAGTAATGGTGGTAGCACGAAGGTGCGAAGTGAAGGAAACAGCTGGATGTCTTTGTATAGCTTCCCGGTTGATACCGGCGTCGAGTATTGTGATTGGGACAATAAGACATGATGCCGGCAGAGATTGGGACAAGTCAGGATTGTCTTTGTTGCAGTTCTCCGAGAGACTAAAAGTTGACGTTCTGAACTCTTGGGACATGTTTCTGGCGAGTATCTCTGCTCAAATATCCAGATTTTGATACAGAAGGACTTCTACTCGAGCTCAGGACTGGCCACTTCAGGATCATTGAATAACTGGTTTGCCAACATCGCTGCTCAAATATCAAGGTCCCAAACACAGAAGAACTTCCAATGGAGCGAAGGATGAGCCGCTCTAACTTCACAGAATAAGTTCCTCGCCAGGAACATCTGCTCCAAAATCTAGATTTGAGCCATGATTGTACCGTTGACGCTCATATAAAGTATTCTTCGACCTAAACCTTAGTTGAATATCCTGACATCTGCGACAACATAGCAACGTAATATAAATCGTGCGACCAAAACGACTCGTAGCATTTTAAATTGCAGATACGTTGAACAATACACCTATGCATACAAAGTATTTTCCCAGTCATCACCCTTCCTGCCTCGATTCCACAAGCTTCCATAACGCTCTCAGCACAGCGACGCCACCACTTTGTGTTTCAACCGTCCTACCCCGTCCTCTATCATTGATATCCTGCTGTCGTGGTTCTTCGGCCGCTGAGACTTCTTCCCAATTGCTCTGCTCATGTACCTCTCTCCCATACTTCCAAGGTCGGTACATAGCATCGTCTTCCGGCAAACGCCAAATCTCATCCCTCGGCACACCATCATTCCGATAATCAGTCCCCACGCTAATCGGGGGTAGCATGCCTACTGTATCGTCCTCATCATCCTCGTCAGCGTCCTTTGGTGACGGCCTACCCCACCATTCGCCGAATTCGCCCTTCTCATTCCTCGTAATGTATGCAGCAAACGCATTATGCCGAATCCAATCCGCATATCCATTACAGCTCTGCTGGTGCAATGCACTATCATCATGTCCCTTTGGCAGTGGAGAGCAAAAGAGCGTCAGATGATGGAAGAATATCCCTTTGAAAGTCTGTCCATTCTGGCTGCATGTGCCGCTCCAGTCACATTGTTCTTCCATCACGCCACCTCTTCCTAGGCCAGCCCAGCGCCATTTGCGCTCTGTGCCTCTGTCTTCCCAGCCTGTGGCAGCTATCACATTTTGCACGAGCTCGTGTCCGTCTAGTAGGTATTGCCGCACGCTCGTTGCTACCCATAAACCACGCAGGCCGGAGAGGAGTACACCTTGGTTGTATGTATAGACGCTTTCATCTCGTAGGTCGCATTTTTCGGTTCCATTGTTGCCATCCCTCCCCCCGCGCCAACCTTTGATGTGGAAGCCGTCCACGTATAGACCCTGCTCATTTCTCATGCCGCTCCCTTTCAGCCATTTGTATGCTTCTACCGCGTTATTGAGGTATTGGGCGTCGTGCGCTTTCGCGGGCGGTAGCTCTTGGTTGGCTGCGAATGGCGAGGAGTTACAATCCCCTGGGAAGTGTAAATACATTCCAATGCTAGCTGCGATGTAGAGCTGGTTTGTGATGGCGTTCTTGTAGGGCGCTAGGTAGGGGTTCCATGTCATGCCTCCTCCGCACAAATCGGTGTCCCAGCCTTTGGACGCAAGGTTGTAGAAGACGCGGGCGCGGTGGGCGTACTGAGGGATGAATTGGCGCGCGTACCATTGTGAGCTGTTGCTGTGGTCGTCGCCGTCCTCCGCGTAGTGGAGGGAGGAATGGAGGTCGATGAATTTTATTGCCTCGAGCCAGCCGAGAACTACCCATAGCATATCATCGTAAGCCTGTGTGCGCAGACTGAATGCGTTTTCGCCGAAATAGAAGGATGTGATTTGTGTGAAGTAGCGGTTTATGAGATTCTCGTGGTCGCGTGACTCGTCTCGGGAGAGCGGAGAAGAGCCTGATTGTAGGGATTTGAAGTATTCGGTCATGGAAGACAAAGTCGCGGAGATCTGAGTGCCCATTACAGCTGCTGTCCAGTCGATGGCTTGAGGCCAAGTGCCCATGGAGATTTCGAAGAAGTGGGATTCCATCATCTCGAGGGCGTCGAGAAGGGCGGTGTAGGTAGAAGGGGAGGCGTGAGACTGTTGTAAAGCATCTTGTCGAGGAATCGCGTCTTCTTCAGCAGCGAGAGGTTGATGTTGCAAAGGATCTAGTCCTCCAAGGCGTCCCGTATGTCTCTGTAAGGGTTGCTCCGCTGTAAGGTCGCCATTGAGTGAAAGCACTTCTAGATCACGTATCGAAAGTGCAAATGAGTCTGTGAACAGCAGAGATATAGAGCAGATGAACAGAATTCTAGCAGCCGCGCTGCGATTCGTGAGAGATCGTACGATCATGATGGGCAGGATTCAAAGCATTCGAGGAGAAACAACGCAGCTGCCAGCAGGTCAACGACAAGCTACCAGCTTTTAAACAGCGTTATACAGCCTCCCGTGCTACAAAAGAGAAATAGAACCACTCCCGAGCTCGTGAGTCGTTGTATGAAGCTCGATACTCGTAATGCATGATGCAATGGAGCATTGGGGGAAACTAGGTTGGCTGAATTTAGGCGCGCTAGCCCGATTTGCCGCCATCTTTCATCTCCCTCGTTGGAAGATTTCAAAAGGCTTGCTCCCTCACAATCAATGACCGCGAAAGTGCTGGAATGCAAAAATTGATGACAACTGAGGGATTCGAACCCTCGCTCTTTCGAACTAGTAGGTAAGTTGGCAAAGACCTGAAACTAGCGCCATAACCACTCGGCCAAGTTGCCCATTCTCAACCATAAATTTTCTATTTCTCTTAATGATCCCAAATTATATTGACCCTACTTTGATGAAGTTCGAGAGCGGGTTTGCAGGAAATTGTTGAGAATTTGACGAAGTGGCCAACTTTTACAACTATCTCAATTATACTATACTCTACAGCTGGTACAACACCGGAATGGCGGCACTCTCTCCGTCCAGTTTTCTGCTATCTTGCCAAAGAATATGTTAAGCAATCTACGAATGTTCCTTTTGCCTTTGCACGCTGGAAGACTCATCCAGAAAGGATGTTTGTTCCGCTCTACTACTTCCCGTCGACTCATCTTCAAGATTTGATTTACTTCATATTGCTATTCACCCGGATGACAGACATGAAGAAGCCATCGAGTCTGGGCCAGAAGACCGGAAAGGCCGGTACAGCTGTCAGGCGAATCGAAAGAGCACGTTGTGAACATGATACAACCACGGCTGCTCAAATCGGAAATTTTCAACCTTTGTTGACTCAGCCGCCGAGCCTCAGCGGTCTCATCTAGCTTAGCGATTACCTCCATGACCCGACATCTGACGATAGCCGTCCTGGCGTCTACGCATGCGCAAATCTTCCCATTGAAGGGGCAGGTCCCAATGAGACATTAAAAAAACAACCCGAGAGCCAGCCGAGCTCATGGCCAGCCGGAATATTCCCCAGCCGTTATAGACTTCTCATTGCTGGGCGCAACGTCACGAGCCCGGGAATAGCCACGACTCGGTAGGTGCACGATCAACCCGAGAAAGCCCGCAGTCAGGAAATGAACATCTGGCCAGCATAATCTACAAGGATCGGTCATTGAGCAGACTGAAACGGGCCGTTCTAAAGCAAAGTCAAATCTCGGCCGAAAAATATCTCCGTGGGTCGAGAAGAATCAACGTTTCGGCATGCTCTGAACCATGATTGTTTTGGAATAATGCCTTAAATTCTGCCTATATAGTGGAGATGAGAGTAGATGTGGCAAGGCTACCATCAAACATTTTGGAAAGTATCATGCACGTGGGCTCCTGCTTACCATGGAAACAAGAGGTCGGACGAGATAGGAAGTCGGCATTTGAGGCCTCGGCAGGGCATATTCGCTCTTCCCGAGCCTGAACAGTGGGCATACTTTGGCATCAGCAAACATTAATTGTAAAGCCGTGGGGTGGATAGGGTCTGTAGTGGCTATGGTACGATCCTAGAGCAGGATGGAGGTGTCCAGTCGGATATGTTTGATCTTTCTTGGCCTAGTGGGTGCCGGGAGCTAGAACTCAACCTTACGTGCTGCAAGCCAAGAGTCTGGACCCGCCGCCATAAAAGGGGCTTGAGCCTATCAGATATGCCATTTAGACCACGTTTTCTGCGTCTCACTTCACTATGCTTCAACGTGCCTCTTTCTTTGCAATTTTCGCTTCTACCAAAGGCCTTTTTCAGCACCACTTGACCACTCGCACCTCGCCTACCAGGATTGGCGGCGCGACCGTCTGTCCTTGGCACTCCGCTTGGCGGCTCCCAAGCTCAGCAATGTACCCAGCGGAGTAGGACATGCACATGCATGATTCGCCGGTAGTGGACCCGACTAGAAGGCAGTCTGAAGGGCCATAGCTTCATAGACGCGACCTAGTCAGCCTTAGCCTACCTAGGCCCTGCCATGAAGTGTCACGCTATGAACTACTTTCTTGAGATAAAGTGGCCGACGGCGCCGGCCCTTGCTGCTCTTTTCCCCTCCAAAGCAACTGCCAGTCTTTGACAGCTGAACACCGCGAGACCGCACACTCTTTCAAGGCGTTGCCAAATACTTCTTGACCGCACGCAATCATGAAGTGGGAGGAGGAGAGTTACTCCCGCAAGGATGACCAAGGGAACCTCGTCTCCATTGTATGTTCCAACGCTGGCCGAGTCATTCGGACTGTCTATGTTGTGTTTCTGCGGTCTAACAGCTTGAACAGGACGAGTATGAGCGTGAACAAAGAGCCGGCGTGACTGGTATGTCGCGTGTGATGACCAGAGGCGATCTCAAGCTATACGCAATCTGCGGGTCAGACCTACAAAAAGAACAACTGCTGGTAGCCTGTCTGACATAGCATAGTGTGGGCTTCTTCCTAGACTCCTACGACCTGTTTATCATCAATCTCGTCACACCAATCTGGACCTATGAGTACGTTCCTACACATCCCTTTCTACCAGACCAGCGCCATTCCACTCCCCATTGCAGCGATCCATGGATGTCCACCCTCTCGATGCGATTCCGCTTGATCTGTCCGTTGCGCTCTCGAATATCTAGACGCTGACCGCTTCTGACAATAGATACTGGGGAGGCCTACAGGGAAAGAAATCGCCTACATACCCACTACTACTTCGTGGTGCAGTCAACGCAGCAGCAAACATCGGTAACATCATCGGACAACTTTCTTTCGGCTTCTTGGGCGATGCTTTCGGCAGGAAATTCGTCTACGGAAAGGAGATGATCATTATGATCATCGGTGTCATCCTCGTCATCAGCTTGCCCAACCACCTCAAAGGCCCAACTCGGATGAAGTTCTGGTATCTCTTCGCAATGCGTCTCATCATGGGTATCGGAATTGGAGGAGACTATCCTATGTCTGCGGCCATCGTAGCTGAGAGGTCCTCCCTCCGAAACCGTGGCCGTATGCTTGGGTGGATCTTTTCCAACCAAGGCTGGGTAAGTCGAGCCAACTGCACGCAGACCTCACGCAAGCAATTAATGAGCTCTTCAGGGTACCCTTGCAGGATCGATCGTCACATTGGTCCTCCTCGGATGCTTCAGCAAATCGCTAAAGGCTGGACACTACAACGAACTCGACGCTGTTTGGCGTCTTCAGATCGGTCTCGCGCTCGTCCCTGCATTCGCGACACTATATTTCCGTCTCACCATGCCAGAGAGCAAGAAGTTCCAGCAATCTGGAGAGCTCAGCACCTTCAAAGCCCCATCCCTTAACTCCGTTGACTCAGACGAGAACTACACCAAAGACCCCAAATCGGAAACTCATGAAGTGGACGGCATGACCGGAAGGAACGCATCCATCGTCGAAGCTAACGTCGCTCCACCATCAAGTTCCGTCAAGATGCGAGCCTTCTTCCAGTACTTCTCTGAGTGGCGACACTTGAAGACGCTCATTGGCACTGCATCAACATGGTTCCTGGTCGACGTAGCCTTTTACGGAGTCAATCTTAACCAGTCTGTCCTCCTCGCAGCCATCGGCTTCTCGAAAGGCACGACCGAATACGACACTCTTCTCAAGAATGGTTACGGCAATCTGATCATTGCCGCAGCCGGCTACGTACCTGGTTATTTCCTGACCATCTACTTCATCGAAATTCTCGGCCGTCGCTGGATCCAGATCCAAGGCTTCCTTGTTACGGCTCTGATGTTCGCTATCATTGCCGGCGACTACAATCATCTCGGAACTGCGGGCAAATTCGTCTGCTTCACCATTGCTCAGGTACGCGCTGAACATCTATACCCAAATGAAAGAGCGCAGATTGCTAATTGCTACAGCTCTTCTTCAACTTCGGCCCCAACGCCACGACCTTCATCGTCCCAGGCGAAGTCTTCCCATCGCGTGTCCGCGGTTTCGCCCACGGTGTCAGTGCCGCTACTGGCAAACTTGGCGCCATCTTGTCAGGCGTGCTCTTCAACTACCTGAGTGGACCCACTAAAATTGGCGTTGCTAACGTCCTCTGGATCTTCTTTGCCTGCAGTGTTCTGGGCGCTATCATGACCTTCTTTTTCGTTCCCGAGACGAAGGGCGTGGATGCTGATGTCCTGGACTTTCAGGAGTGCCAGGAGGCTATCAGGATCAAGAATGATCATTAGATCTGGCGATGGGGGTAAGGGGGAGTAGAATTAAATTGATATGCTACCTTAGTTTATTTGATACCAACTCAATTCGATTCATATTCCATACACACTGATTCGAGAACCCTTATCTCAATCTCGCAACTGGTCTATGTAATAACAAGCCCACAAGCATTGTCCAGTCAGTTGTGAAGTTAACACTTCACCAGCACCCACGGCCAGTCCATTGCATTATATGAAGTCTGAGCGCAACAGTCCATAATTCGTCGTACCTATTGTTCCAAAACTTCTTCCACACATGCCCAGATCAATTTGCAGCCGACTTCGGCCACCGTTAGTACGCCAAGCTAAGATATCAAGATGCACGAATTCGCCTCGCGGGTGCTGGAATCAGCATACTCACTCCCAAACGAAGCCACCGCAAGAATACCTGGGATCAGGGATGGGATTAGATTGGGCTAAGTCGTTATCTTTGAGGCGTTCGTTGTCGTTGGTGTGAATAATGGATAGACGCTTGCGAGTGAGCCGGGCGGTTTGCCTCGCTGCAGGTGAGATTGGATTACTTGCCAGCGACCGAGCGACCGAGGGAGACATATGCTAGTTCATTCATAGACGGGAGATTGCCCTGGCGAGGGGAATATGTTGCTAATGCTACTGGTATGTTTTTGTAATTTGGAGAGGGATTTGTTTGTTATGGTATTTGGTGCCTGTGCTTTGTGATCAAGGACTGCGGCTCGGGTAAAAAATAGCTCGAATGTGAAGAGAAAACGAAAGAGAGGTTTCAAAAAGGGTTGGCTGGTCCAGCTGTGCTGGGCTTTGAAGCCATTGAGTTCAATGCGCTGCATGGCGACTAGATGTGCTCCCATCTCGTAGCGAACTAATGCAAGGAAAAAAGTCCTGTGCTTTTTTGCCGTCGCTTTCCCTCTGTGCTGGAATCTGTGTCAGGGACGACTTGCAGACTTCCGCTCCTTAATTATTCATCTTAAACGATGGTGATGACTATTTGTTTCAAGGCTGCGAAATATTTGTTCTAGTAGACGAACGCACTGAAAATACCTGTATATCTGAACTTGGGGCCTTTGCCAGGAGTCAATAGCACCCCTCGCACAACCATGTCACCGCCATCTTCTGATCACCCAGTCCATTGTATTATGTGAAGTCTGAGCGCAAAAGTCCCTCCG